TCAAAGTATGTCTGTTAAACACCCAAGAAGGTTAGTTCCACCAGTCTGGTATTTTTAATTACTGTGTGTCATGTAGATAAATCTTGGGCAAAGACAAATTGTTCTCAGACAAACCTTACCTAGACATATATTTCTTGATTGTCTATGTATAATTTGTCAGTAGGTTGTTGGAGTAATATGATTCTCTCACATTGTCTCTCCCCTCCATCATGGTTTTCCCACTTAAGGTGCCCCCATTTCCCCCCTTTCTCCCTTAATAATACCCTTCTCCTACGGTCCTACCTCTCTTGAGCTCCTTCATTCCCTTTATCGCCCAGGTTCCTTGTATACCCTTCCCTCCCCTCTCCCTTAAACTAACCCAATTTTTATTCTATTCTTATCACACCATCCTCTGAAGAGGTTACCCAACTTGTCGATAGGGAATCGGGACGCCGATCACTCTGGCTTCTTCCATGCTGAACAGGGACACAGAGTGACTCAACTGGAGTAGATAGATGCAGGGTGAGGCAATTGGATAGACCCCCTTCAGTGGGTCTGTCTAAAGGACTTACAAATTGCATAACTCTTATATTTAGGGGGAATAGAAAGTCTTTGACAGGTGAATAAGAGATGTGAAGGAAAAGTAAAGACAAGAGTAATTAGCATTACAAGTTCTAGACAGGGAACTAGAAAAATGTCAGAACAGGGTAATTTTCAAATGTTCATCTGAGAGTCCATTGGAATTTCTTGACAAGGGCTTCCAAAAGCCTCCCTCTATTGGGTTCCCCCTCATTTTTCTTTTTAAATGTAGAATTTTTAAATTATAATATTTATGAAGATAAATTTATAGTATTACAGAATAGGTAGTAAAGGTCAGAATTGAATGAAATTCATCATCCATTGCTTCTGAAACTCTTAACTGTTATCTATTTTTAGATATGTCAAAAGTTAATTACTTTCATTTTAATTCATATTTGAATTAACATTTATAAGAGATCTTTAGTGGATATATATTTCATCTTGAGTGGAAAGCAAAGGTCTTTGTTACAATGTTTATTAGTCATGTCATGGACAATGTCTTTGATTAATAACAACATTGTCTAATTTAGTTCACCTCTGAATTGTGCTTCAATGAACTGTATTAATCATACAGAAAAAAGCAACAGTAAAGGATGTGCCTTGATATTCTCTAGAAGTTTATGCTATTTATGTATAACTTAAGGAACAAACAGCCATTGTAACAAAATGATTTTTAAAACCCATTGAGTTATATACTGCAAAGTGTCCCTGGTGACTCCCAGGGCTTAAACTGGCTAATTAGTAAAAATAATGTAAGGAAAAGGACACATTAAGGGAAGTGACATAGTATATCTTCTGGGAATGCTTTCACATTAGTATTTGATAAAGTAGACTCAGATCAAATATAAAAGCAACTGATGCATTCCGTGTCTGTCATTGTTTATCACGTGCGGACACGTTTTCCTAACCCAGTTGTATACAGTACACATTCTCATGATGAAAGCATTCTGTGAATTGTCTTAGGCGTCTCATAATATCAGAGTTGATGATTATCACCTCAGAGGATAAGATATAATCTATTTACGAGAAAACATAAGTAAATGTTTCTTTTCTACTCCCTGTTGACATAAGGTATTTTACTATGACTGATAACAACCAAAATCTTCTAGTGATGCATATAATATATGGATGAGTACAGTACTTGAATGCTCCCTTGTACAGATACGTGATAGCTAGTTTACAATCAGCTGTGAGCACAGGAACCAGATAAAGAAATGAGCATATATTAAACTGTTAAAACGTGAGATCCTCCATATTAGATAGGAAGCAAAACACTAACTGTGCAGTTGACTGGAAATGCCACCTAATCCCTGCTTAATTAAAACAGCACTCTAAACTCCTGTTGTGTTGAGGGAGTAAAGAGTGTGGGACGACTGATGTATGAGGAAAATAGCAGTCAGTGTGGCTAATCGCAAAGACTTGGGAGCGTTCTAGCTACATAAATCAGAGCGACTTCTGAATAGCCTCATAAAATACCATGTCATTGCCATTCTACTCACGACTTTCTGGTTCTTCCTACAGCATGCAGATCATTAAGAAACTTCTAAGCAATCAAGTAATGTGAGTCTGATGAAATTACTCAATCAATGCACAGGCTCAAAGTGGAAGCATAATTCAAACTTGCATAGTTTTTATATGTCAAAAGACCTTTCTTTCACCAGGGCAAAGGGGATCTGAATGAAGGAGATTCATTTTGAAATAGTACGTATATGTGCGAGTGCATATATATTTAGCAAATAAATATATGCAACTGGTAAATATCTGAGTATGATTCATAGAAACTCAAGGCAATTACAATATTATGTATTTAGAGTAGAATACATAAATTTTCATTTCTATCATATGGTTCAGCCATTGAATTATATCTTGTGTTTATATAGAGGTAATGTATTCAATAAAACACATCAAAGTTTAAAAATAATGCTGTTGCCTTTTTAAACTACCTGTATGAAGTCAAAACAGAAAGGTTAGAATTGTCATACACATACCATGGTTCAATAGCAGATGAGTTTGGTACTTCAAAAGGCTGTGATAGCTGTGACTTTTCCCTTCCGAGTTCGCCTGAGCAATACTGCAACCACTTTCTGCTTGAACACATCCTAGGAAGCTGAGCGAACCTTTCATTTCTGCTTATCCCTTATATCTCTAGAGTAGAAGTATTTCTTCTCTGACAGCCCTATCACTTTCATCTTGCTGGTCCTCAGCTACATTTCTCATATTATTTAAATGAAGCAATCACCTACTAAAGAAAATTCTTTTTTCCTAACCAACTAAGTGAGCACACTGATCCAGTGTGTGTTACTGACTGCTTTAAAATGTTACTATGTTACTATGAACATAACAGCTTCTAATTTATCACACTTTTGCTAACAGTGCAGTGCAGAAAAAGTGACTTTTAACCTTTAAAGTATACACAAATGAGACACTTTTCAGTATGCTATAAAAGGTATAAAGCTTTTAAAACTCTGTATTACCTTCACTGAGATATTAGGTAGTCTATAAAAGAAGGTAATTCCCTTGTCTGATGTACTAATTTCATTCAAGGCAAATTAATTGAGAAGGAAGTATTTCTGTTAGTAGGTTATACACAGTTGACGTACACAATGAGATTTCTAGAGAAATATGCAGTTTGTGTAGCTTTTTAAAAATCTAGCTAAAAATAAGTAAGCCATGGCACACTGACAGGCAACAGTATACTATGAGAAAAAAATACAACAGTTGTTTTGAACCAAATGCCCACACAGCATCGCCAAATAGTATTCGTCTCATAAAGAATACCAAGAGCTATAGATGTTTGTAAATAATGTATTTTTCATGTACAACACAGAATAAGCAATAAAATAAGCATTTATCCATAAGCCCCATCCCCTGCTGGGATAGAAAACATAAGTCAGAAACATCTAGTCATAAAATGAATGTAAAGATACAATGATTATGCCCCCACAATTCCATTCTGGTCATCTTCGTCTAGATAAATCCAGGTCATTTCTTTCAGAAGACTCAGTTCATTTCTGAACTCTCAACAGAGCGTTACTGAACCCCTCAATGAGATCATAATATCTCCCTGAAAAGTTCTGAGCCCACGGGCACTGTGAGCCTCCAGGCAGCACGGGATCCAGCAGGCAAGCTATCTAATGCTTAATTTACTTAATGCACAAGTGCAAGGCTGCCTGAATCCTGACCTCATTATCCCACAGTCATACAGTTCCATGGATGTAAATGATAGACGATGGCAGACATGTTTACGAAGACAGCCTATGAAACCAAGAGAGGGAGCCTCCTGGAGCTGTGGGTCTGTCCAAGCACACCCGACAGAAGCCCCTTGCTTGGGCAGATCTGCCACCTGCAGCTGGCTCACCTACCAGTCGTGTACACGTGTGTGTGTGTGTGTGTGTGTGTGTGTGCGCGCGCGCGTGTGTGTGTGTGTGTGTGTGTGTGTGTTGCGTGGCGGAAGGGCAGGAGACAGAGAAGCTGTGACCCATCTGTCGCCTCGATTTTCTGAACAGGAAACCGTGTGGACTGATAAAAGTCCTGTGCCCAGAAAAATTCCCCCAGAGGGGTGTCACTGCAACCCAGCAAACAAACCTTGCTTGCAAACCAGGGATGCGAGTTTCCGAAAAGGAAACCATCACATTAATGCAGAAAGGGCTGCGAAAGTCGGTCTCCCCTCTCTTCTCACGTATTAGCAAGTGACAAGAGTTGGACCTAGAGCTGGAGCACCATGCATGATAATGACGTGAGCCCCGCCGCCCCCGCCGCGTGGCCCGCTCGCCAATAGGTGGGGCCACGAGCCCGGCGACCCGCGCGGCCCCTTGGAGCCCGAGCTGCCCGGCTCCCGCGTCTCCTACTGCCCCGGCGTGGGCTGTGAGCGGCGTCCCCAAGGCCCACGGGAGCGGCCTGCGCGGGCTCCTGAGTCTCCTGCGCCCCGACCCGGCTGCAGCTGCACACCGCCATCCGCTCTTGCCACCCAGCAGGCGACGCGAGGCCCGCAGCGGACCTAGGGGCTGCACGCACGCCGGGCTTACTGTGGCTGCGGCGGACTCGACTGCTCACGTTACAGAACCACCTGTTCGCGCCCCGGGAGCGCCCCAACCCCAGCCCCGCGCTCTGCCTGCGGTGATTCCGCCAGACTCCCCCAAATATCATTTAAAGAATGGCTCAAATGCACATCCGGGAAAACCGGGAAGGAAGAGTCAATTAAAGTTCCTTCCCCTGCACTCCGCGTCCCCGCACTCTCGTGCTCCTGGGCCACACTCCCCGCCGTCCCCATTCTCGCGCCGCGGGGCTCCAGCCACAGCCGGGGAAGTCGAGCCTGTGCGCGCCCGGCAGAGGGGCCGCGACCTGGTCGCCTGCTGTAGCCGCCCGGAGGCGCAGGGGGGACAGCGAAGACTGCGGAGGACACGCTAGGGAAAGTCGCCTGGGGCAGTGCAGCCCTCTCTTACCGATGTGAATGATCGAATCCGCTGCAGCCAGGTCCCAGGTTCGAGACCACCAGATGAACAGAAGCAGGAGCAAAGGGAAAACTTCCATCCTCCTATCCGGTCCTCTTCGACGATGGCTTCGCTTCCGATATGTAGATTTGCTTTAACCAGTCCAAGAGTTTGAGCTCACGATAGAGTTGCGCGCAGCTTCCCCCTTATTTCCAAATTCCTCTTGCCCTGGCGAAGGCTGTTCTGGTCGCCGAGGAGGCAGAGGCGGTGGCAGAGCGATCCTAACCCGAGGAAACCTCCTTCCAGAGCCTTGTCACTTAGAGAGGAATTTTGGCATCGCCAGAGTTGTTTGCAGTTTGGCTTTTTAAAAATGCATCCAGCCTCGGCTGCTCCCGGGCAGGGGGCGAGGCTGGGCGCTCCGCCGGTGGCCGTGTCCGCGCGGGGGCCCCGGTGGGGGTCTCAGCTCCGCGACTGGAGCACCCCCGCGCCGGACGCGCCCCCGGCCTCCTGCCGCCCAGCCCCTACGCCCGGGGCCACACGGTCGCGGCGCCTCGCTGCCAGGGTCTAAGTGCCAGGGAAGATGAGGTTCCAAGCGGGGCGGCCAGATTCCAGCAGGGAGGGGGAAGGCCCACTCCCTGAGGGGCAGGAAAAGTGAACTTCAAGGTAATGCAGATAGTGATGCAGAGAAAATCCCTTCTGCGCGCGGCGAGCGCAGGGCTGGAGAGGAGGCGCTGGGCTAGTCGCGGCGCGGTGGCGGGGGAGTTGCGCCAGGCGCGAGCAGCGGGCCTGGCCGGCGGAGGGAAGACGCCGCGCGGGCTGCAGGATGCTCCGCAACGTTCGCCTGGCGGGATGCAGGAAGCGAGGAGCGAGCCTGGCAGCTTCGGGAGCAGCTTCACGTTGCCTAGAAATGGATCACCTAGGAGAAGCAGCGAGTCCGCGAGAGAGCGGTGCTGTCAGGCGGAGAGGGGGAAACCGAGAGGAAGAGCTTCTCTCTAATAACCACCTCCTCCCCCTATCTGCAATACAAGGGAGAAACAAAATAGTGCTCTCATTTCCCTCGGAATCTTCAACCAGGACTGAGAAAGGCAGGGCTGTGAGAGAAAAGGCGATGGACCCTTGTTTTTCCCTCTTGGTTTTTCCTCTCTTTTTTCTTTTTTCTTTTCTTTTACAAGGTTAAAAGCAGCCTAAAAAAGCCACCCCACTTATTTAACCTTGCTACCCTCCAACAGGTACTCCACTTTTTCTAGTCTTTGCCTGAATTAGAAACATTGGCTGAGAACAAATTGGGGACACCTGGTCACTTAGGGAAATAGAGACCTAGAAAGCTTTTAATGAGATTTCAATTATAAAGTTATAAAAAGCAGGGGGTGTGCTAATTACCTTTTAAACAGTGATTTTTTTTTTTCTGGTCTCTGGTGTTTTTTAAGGCAATCAGGATAGAGAAAGAATTCTGAAATCCTGTCTGTGGATAAAACTCCTTTATCAAAAAAAGAGTTCTTGAAATCTAAATCTAATATATATTACATTATATATAATGAATAAAGCAAATATAAATGCCTCAGTGGTCAAAATATTGCATTAACTTAATCACCTGTGTAGATAAGTCACATGGGAAGTTCCTGGTCTGCACTGGGAAGCTGTGAGTGACAGGCTCCTAGCCTCCAGTGAAGAGATTTTGTGCAAGCTTATTTCCGATCATTGTAACTTCCGTTCTTCTAATGACTAGCTTTTATCATTCTGACCTTACTACAGAAGGGAGATCTGTTAATACAATCAAGTGTCTAACTGAGGTCAGGTATTAACAGCTCTAATACTGTTTCAATTACAGTTGAAGTCCTTTGGGAATGTTGTTACTTGGTGTATATGGATGTCAAAGCTGTCAGAACCCACCTTTACCTCTAAGATTGGCTAACCTCTTTTCTTATTACTGCTCTGGAATTCTTTCCTTTAGCTTGGTGAGTTGACTCATTATTCGCAGTTAGTTGTCTGCTCTCACCTCTGCCAGGTACTATCTTGTACATTTCCTCTCTGGATATTCCAGAAAATGTCCTGCTATCCTATTGCTACTCCAGGTTCACAATTCCTCTTGAATTGCATAAGTTCATCTTTTCAGTGACTCTCCTTCACCCCCTCCAGGGCAGATTTCTCTCACCCATGATGCAGTGTGCTTTAATGTGGAGTAAACCCATCTGTCTTCTATGTGTTCATCACACAGAAAGAACTACCTTGGAATTAGTTCATCAGCGTCTTCAGGGATATCCAGGACTTGTACACTTTTTTCCGTACAGTCTTTTGCAGAGAGCCCCATTTGCTGAATGAATCAAGAACAAACCAGTACTTCCAAGAAACCATCTCTGACTCTGTATTTTTCAGTCAGTTTTCATCATTTCTTCATTTTCCCCCCAGAGTACACATGGACTCAGTATTGATTGTATTCATGTTGTTATTGATGTCATTTCCCTGTTCAAAGCATTCTGATGCACTTGCATGAATTATACTTTGTTGGTATAGATTATGAATCTTAAAAATGGAAGTATCTCTGCACAGCATACTGGGGCATTTTAAAAGCTGATGACTCACTGTGTATTCTATCAGGAAAAATTGTGAAATAGCCAAGTGACTCTAGATAGGCTGACCAGACTCCAGTGATGAACTTGCACTGAGGGACATCTGGATGCAGATGTTTGACCAGATAGGACTTAACATATATGACAACATGCATGAAATTCATTGGGGAGGCTGCTATGGAGGGCACGGATGGAGGAGGGGGGCTATAAAGATGATTAAGATATTTTGTATGAAATGTACAAAAATTCATTTAAATATACATTAAAAAATCTTTAATTAAAAATACTATGGAAAGAACAATAGAATAACTTGAATCAGAGAGGTATGTAGAACTACAAAATAACAATTGGATCAATCACATCTTAAAAAGCATTATTCTTGGAGACAGCTAAGTATAATCACATTCATAAATCTCCCCTCTTAGAAACATCTTTTCAGTACTATAAAGAAGACATTTTAATAGTCCTCAATCCTCCAGTTTAATAGTTTTCAATCATAACCTGGGATCCTTGGCAAAGGGATTATTTCACTCTAATTAAACCTGGAACTCCAATGCTTGGGACTGAGTCTATAAGCTGCATACTTCAAATTTCTGTAGGTAAACCTAACATGTAACCATAGTTCAGAACCACCATTCCAATACTTAGACATTTAAAGGCATCTGAGTGACATATCACAAAAACTCGTGAAGATATAATGATCAACCCTGCCAATCAAACCAAGTAGTTCAACCATGAGTGAAAGTTTTCCAAGTGTAAAACAAGAAAGTAATTGCAAAAGTGAAGTATAACATTGGCTTACTGATGTTCAGTTTAGGAAAAGCAAACTTCACAGTACCTAAGTAATTCCTATGCCCAATAGGCCCCAGCAGATTGGTTTTGCATGAATAAGAATGTACTCACAAAATAAACAGTATTAACTACATATATATATATTAGTAAATTGGATAGATTATGATTTCATAGTTTCCCAGAAAAAATATTTATGTGTAAATTAGAATTTAATTATCAGGCTCAAAAATATAATTTGCTGGCTCCATTAATTAATTAATTAATTTGTTAATTGTTGTACTGAGATTGAACTTGGAGTTTTACACATTAGGCTCAGGCTAGGAAATGTCTCTATCATTTAGCTACATTTTCTCCTTTTACTTTTAAGACAGGGTCTCATTAATTTGCCCAGGCTAGCCTCGAACTTACTCTGTAGACCAGACAATACTTGAAATTGTGCTCCTTATGCCTGAACCCCGAGTAGGGAGGATTTTGGTCCTACACCACGAAGCCTAATTTTGGTGTTTTCTAAATAAACATTTTAATGAGAGTTTCTGTTTCATTAGCCCAGCTTCACTGTAATTCAAGCATTATCATGTGTATCAGTGGATGCATCTGACCTACTGTGCTCAGATTCAGCCCATGTGAAAATAACCTTCATTCACTGAAGGTTTTTGTTTTTGTTTTTAGTAGAAGCTTAACTTTGCAATAATAATATAAGTGAATGATAACTTATGGGTTTATACTCCAAACTGGAAACTGTCTTCACTGTAGTAGTGTGATTGAACATCAACGACTTAGAGAAGTGGGAGATTGCAGGAGCAGCTATATAAGCTATAAGGCATAATACATATTTTTTCATAGAAAGCAGAATTTCAGAGAAATATTAATTGTATTGCTGGGTGAGAGCCTATCGGGTTGCTTCACGCACAAAATGCAGAGAGAAAGCAAGGCCAGCGCAATCCTCGGAAGAAATCTGTCTTCCATTGTTACTTGAAAATGTGTTAAGAAATTCAGTGCCTTCCAGGAATGGTGCCCCATGCCTTTAATCTCAGCACTTGAGAGGCAGAGGCAGATGAATCTGTGGGATCCAGGCCACTCCGGTCTACAGAGCAAGTCACAGGTCAGCTGGGATTACAGGAAGACCCTGTTTCAAAAAGACTCCCTTTCCATAATTCCAATACCTAAATTTTAAAAATGATCTGCTTGCTGTTAAAATGGTATTGATTTAACCTACAATCATCATTTTTAATACCTTTAATAATATTTAAGTGCCCCAAGTGTTTTAAGTATAAAAGTTGATGTTTATAAGGGCTTGCTTCAAACTTGAAACATGGTTAGCTTTCAAATAAAACCACAAAAAAACAAAGACCTCTAATATACTTAGATAATTATTTTAATTCCATATACTAATACTATTAACATTAAAAATGTAGGTAGCTACATGGAAAAGTCTAAGTATATTGCAACTTTACCATAAGTGTAAGAAGAAATGCAAAGGGAAGTGGCTGACCATCTAGAAAGATGCAAATAGTTGTGACAAATGGCAATAAAGTTATACCTGAAAAATATATTGAAGAATTTAAAGGCTGAAGTTTTCTTTGGTTGAGGGACCCAGATGAAACTTTTGTACTTAACAAATTGTGGAAACTCAATGCAATGGAATTTCAGGATCTGTCCTAGTCAGATTTCATTTTTCACCCTAAAACGATGGGGAAATTCAGTCTCAGAATGAATAAGCTGGAAAAAAATTCAAACTTAGAAAACATGCTTTTTAATTTTTAAAGAAATTCTAAGGAGCTCAATGCAGCATACATTGCTGTAATATATTCACTCTGGGTGTGCTTTGTCTTTTCATGTCAATTTCTTTCCAGTTGATCAAACTATCTCGTTGATATTTGTAAAATGGTATAAAAATTATTGGATGCTATCTCCTGCCTTCCTTTGTTCATTTATTCTTTCCTTTTAAATTCTCTCAGTTGCTTTGAACCTTTTCAGAGCTTTCTGTAAATGTGTACCCCAACAGGGAAGTCATAACTTCCTTGATTTATAAACATGAGTGCTTTACCAAATTAATCTGTTATTAAACTAAACTCAAAAGAAAAATTAAATTTCAAAACTTTTCTACTGTCCACAGGACCCATCCTATTAACATTGTAGGCACAGTTAATTATATAAAGATATATAGATGATAGATGATGGTAGATGTTAGATAGATGATAGATAGATAGATAGATAGATAGATAGATAGTAGATCATATATAGATGATAGATAGATAGATGATAGATAGATTTAAATATATATACTTCCCAGCACTAACATGGCAGCTGATAACCGTCTGTAATTCCAGTTCCAGGGGAATCCAGGGCCCTCTTCTGACCTCTGTGGGCATCGCACCATATAAATAATCAAATAAATAGATAGATAGATAGATAGATAGATAGATAGATAGATAGATAACAGATAAATGATAGATAAATGATAGACAGACAGACAGACATATAGGTAGATTCTGCTACTTATCTCTAATGCCTTGATGTCTGTGGAGTTTCCCAGAGACTGTTTAGTAAGCATAAATGAAATGCTTGAAAGATGTGAAATGATGACCTGTAACCCAAGAGGTTTG